CCGCCCAGGGTCTTGGCTGTAAGGTGGGGGAGGGGATGACACACATAAGTAGGGCCCAGGCTGGCCCAGCAGGAGGCTGGTCAGTTCTCATGGGCCCCCAATGCATGGGGTCACTCAGCTCAGCCATGCAAACCAGGTGGGGCGAGGACAAGGGGTGAGGAGGGGGCGGTGCTGACTGGGGGACACACTCACCCCGCTCCCCTCACACTGGATAGGCACCGTGAAGGCCAGGGCTGTGGGCCATCCAAGCCTGGGCTCTAGTTCAGCCCTGCGCCCACCAGCTGTGTGACCTCAGGCTCGGGTGCCAAGCCCATGGATGGTGGCTCCCCCATGCCCAAGACAGGCAGCGTCTGCAGGGAGGCCCGCCCCACCCCTGGCGCTCACCTTGACGACGGGCGGTGTGGGGGGCACGACGGGGATGCTGGGAGCAGCGGGGGGCGGTGGGGCGGCAGAGGGGGGCACGGGGACCGTGGCGATGTTGGTAGTGATGGTTGGCACAGGGGTGGCAGCAATGACAGGCGTCTGGGAGACAGCGGGAGGGACGTTCTGGAAGGGGGTCGCCGGGGACACAGAGGACATGGCCGCCACTTGCTGCGTCCCTTGAAAACCAGGAGGAGGGTCAGCACACAGGCTCCCCAGGTGCACACCCGGCTGCACCACAGCAGAGAGCATCAACAGGGCAGGCCACAGAGCTGACTCAATGCCAGAGTTCCGGGGTCCGGGCTCAGACACGGGGCCCCAGGTATGCATGTCTATGAGCTGGAATGGCAGGCCGGGGAGAACACCAGGGCACAGTGACCGGCACTGATGACCACTGACCAGCATCTGTGGTCACTACCAGTATCACTGACCAGTGACCAGCCCTGTGACCAGTGACCAGCCCTGTGACCAGTGAGCAGCCTCAGAGACCAGTACTGATGACCAGTGACCAGTGGCTAGTATCGGTGATCAATGGTGACCGGCACCTGTGACTGGAGCCACCCCCACTCCCCAGACACAGCGCTGAGTCCAAGGGCAGGGGCCACATAGATGCCCACAGCGAGCAGATGGGCTGGACGGAGGGGCGGCTTTGAGAGCCGAGGCTGCGAACAGCCAGGCCCTTCCTGAGCTGGCTGTCACTCACAGGGGCTAAACCAGCCCCTCCCCAGTGAGCAGAGGGCTGGGCCTGGAGCCCGGGGGGGCCTGACCCCAAGCTTCCAGGGCTTACATGAGGCCCTCCCTGCCCCTCTCCACACTGCAGGGGAGACACCCTTGCTGCACGCCAGACACCCGCACTCTGGTTTCTTACTCTGGGGCCCCTGCCCCTCAGGCTGAGCCCACCCAGATGCATGCTGGGTGACCCCCGCCCCCAACACTGAGCCTCTCATCATTCCTCACTCGGAGTCCCCTCCCCCCTAAGGCAGAGCCCACCCAGGTGCGCACTGGGTTTCCCTCCCCTCCAGGTGCACACTATACCCTATATCCGCACAGTGGGTCCCCCTCCCTTGGTACGTGGGGTCCATCCCTCCCTACACATGGGGTTCTCCCCACGTCGCACCATGGCCCCCCACTCTGGGGGCGCCCTGACAGGTATTCCAGGCCCCTGCCTCACCTGTACTCTGGGCCACCACAGCTGGCTTCCGGCCTTTGCCCTTCGGGGCAGGGGGCAATAGCTCAACTTCCTCCTGGGGCATTTGGGCCACTTTCTGTAGAAAAATCTTCTCTAAGGCTTGGGCCATGAGCACGATGTCGTCTGTGGGCTGGAGACAAGAGCGAACGTCAACACCGGCCGGAGGGGGGGCTGGTGGGACAGGAGCCATCACCCCAAGCGCCCCCTCCAGGGGTCCGGGCCCCTGGGCTGCCTAATCCTCGTCACACGGAGCAGCTCTACAGACGGACCCTGGGGTCCCACCGGGTGCCCACCTACATCCTGCCTCTGGGGCCAGTAGACTACAGTGCCACCAACTGTTAGTGTGTGCTGCCACCTGGTGGGGGCCCACATCACCGCGTGGATCTGAAGACACGGGGCTCATGCCACCACTCCTAGCACCAGAGACCCCAGGGGCATACATGTCCCACTAATGGTAGCAACTGCCGTGTTACCTGAAATTTAAAATATTTTAAGTACCCCGGCCTCACTGAAAATGCCTCCAATAGCTGAAAGCAGTTGGCTCCACAGAAAATTCGAAACAAAAGAATCGGACCTTGAAGGTTAGATGCGGGACGCCCAGCACCCTCGTCCAGGCCCCTGCTTTGCACCACCTCATTCCGAGCGGGCTGCTCTGATTTCAGACAGGCCCTCGGGCAGGAGAGGCGGTGGCTGTGGCCCCGTGTGGCCGCGCAGAACTGCTCCGTGGGCTTCCTGGGACCTGGACTGGGACTCTTCCAGGAGCACCCTCCCCCACCCCCCACCCCTGGCACACCACTGATCCACCACCGCTAGCACTCCTCACAAAGGCTACCATTCCGTGTGTGTGTGAGAATGTGTGTGAATATGAGGGTGCTATTGTGTGTGAATATGTGCATGAGTGTGTGAGCATGTATGTGTAAGTGTGTGGGGGTATGCACACACGTGTGCGTGAGTGTGTAAGTGTGGGCACATGTATGTGTGCCTGTGAGCCCTGAGAGAGGCAGGGCTGGATTCCTGGGTAAGGGCCAATGCTCAGGAGCTACTGCGAGCCACCTGGCCCCGCCCGGCCCAGCCAGTGCCAACTGGCCGTACGGGCCCAGGCCCACCCAAGGTGGGAAGCCCTTCTGTGCCGCCCTGGTCTGCTCAACTTATCGTCACTGTCCCAGTTTGTAAACGTGGTGTTGAAGTCCTGCATGCCCGCCCTCCCTGGCCCCGACCCCAGCTCCGGGTGGGTGGGGCTGCTCACCTTATTATAAATGTAACAGTTTGTAAACATGGTGTTGAAGTCCTGCATACACTCGCTGGCACTCCAGTAGTAATTGTTCTCCAGCCTCTTCTTAATCGTCCCCATGTCCATGGGGTTCTTGATTATTTTATGATAGTCCTAGGGGAGAGAGGCCGGGTCACTGGGCTCCTGGGCACAGCCACGCCCTCGCCCCCTGCTGGACGCTCCAGGCACTCCGACGTGCCCGGGGGTCCCACAGTGAGCGTACTCACGGGCAGGTTCAGCTTGATGGCGTCCACGGGCTGGTAGAAGGGCCAGGCGAACTGGTGCTTCCACAGCGTCTTCACCACCACGTTCTGCATGTACTGCAGCTGGTTGGTCTTGCGGCCAGGCTTGCTGGGGTTGCAGACCTCGGGCGGGGGCGGGTTTACGGGGCCCGGGGCCGCCGGGATGCCCGCGGAGGTCACGGTCGTCGTCGTGGACATCCTGAGCGCTCAGTGCCCGTCACGGCCGCGGCCCGCAGGTGCCTGTGCTCCCACTAGGCTCCCCGAGGCCACTCGGCATCCCATGTCCAGGCTCCACCAGCAGCAGCTGCAGAGACACGGACGCTCAGCCAGTGCCCCCTCCCGGCCCCTGCCTCGAAAGGCAGCAGGACAGGGGCCACCCTCCTCTGTGGGCCGCACGGGACCGACTGCTCCCATGGACGGGGTGGCGGGAGTCGCTGGAACCTGTGCCCAGCCCCCTCGGCTGGCTGGTGGCTGACCGTCACAGTGGCCGGCCACTCCTCTGTCGTTGGCCCCAGGCAGCTCTCTGCAGGACGCACACACCAACCGGCAGAGCAGAGACGCAGGGCAGACGGCGCGGCAGCCGGCTCCAGGAGGCCCTCGGGGTTCCAGGTAACCCAGAGAACTGCAGGGGTTTGTGATGGCGGAGGGCGGGAGGCGGCCTCGGCCAATCAGAGTGAGGAAAGGGGCGCTGGTGGCCCAGGGGTTGGGGGCCCCCTGGGAGACGGGACCCTGAGGAGGGAACATGGGTGCCACCAGCATGACCCCCATCTCCACTTCCCAGGGTAGCACCTTCGCCCCACTCCTGCACCCTGATGGCAGCGGACCCGGACCCTCAAATTGCAGGCAGTCTGCCGGTGAGGACAGGGAGGCCCCACCTCTGCAGTGAGTGAGCGAGGCCCGAGGCGCTGTGGGGAGCGGGCTGGCGGTGGCGGGAGAGCAGATGGGGACATTGTGGTGAGTGCCTGGGACTGTCACCGTGGGTGTGCCGGCGCCACAGACTGGCAGCGCCATACGGCAGGGCTTCCCTGGGGTGCCTGCCACGTGTTCCCCACGGCTGCCCCAGTAGCCCCTGCAGGCTACCACCTGGCCCCTGCACACCTGCCTAGGTGTGCCCAGGGTGGCCCAAGGGCTGCCCTGTCGGAGCATCTGGGGGGCACGGCGTCACTGCCACCACCAGCCGCCCCACGGGCTGGGGCGGAATGGAGAAGGGCCCCGCTGGGCAACTCCCACGGCAGAAGCAGACGGGTAGGCTGGGTGCCCGGGCGGGCAGACTCTCAGCCGGATCTGGCCCAGCGCATCTAGTTGGGCCGCATGCAGGTTTCCCACCCCAGCAGGGCCCTGGGGCTGAGGGGTAGGCCCTGGGCACTTGTCTGGGGCCCCTGTAAGCCCCCTCTGATGGCCAACACAGGCACCCACCAGGAGCCCAAGGTCCACTCTCCTTCACAGGGTCCAGCCGGCCATGTCTGGAGCACCCACCTGCCCTCAACAGATGCAAGCAGCACCCCGCTTACTAGGGTGACGGACAGAGGCTTAGACCGCTCCAAGCCCACCCCGCCCGCAGCCTGTGGGGCTGGCCGACTTGGTAGGCCTGGGTGTGTGTGTATGTTGGGGGGCCCTGGTCAAACTGCTTCCACACTAAGATTTAAACTGACAGTCCCCTGCCCCCTGTGGGTCACGACCCTTTCACAAGGGTCGCCCAATAAATAACAGTAGCAAAATGACAGTCATGAAATAGCAAGGAAAATAATTTTATGGTTGGAGGGGTCACCACAACATGATGAACTGTCTCAAAGGGTCGTGGCATTAGGAAGGTTGAGAACCACTGCCCTAGGGGGACTCGGGGCCCCCTGGAAGCTCCCTACCCTCTTGGCACCCCTGTAAGCGCCCCCAGAGCCTCACCAGGAGCTGCCTCCTGGGGGAACTGTGGCCATGTCAGGAGCCCCCCCCCCCGGGGGTGTCCCTCTGAGCCTCCCCATCCCTGGAGCCTTCCTAGGGAACCGACCTGCCTCCTGGGGAAGCTGCCCCTGTGAGTGAGGTCAGCGCAGGCTGGGCCCAGGGCCTCCCCAGGTCACCTCCCCACCACTGCCTGCTGCGGGCCATCCGCAGTGTGCTCTGGGACAGGCCTCCCAAGCACAGGGCCACCCCTGGCCGGAGACGGGTGCTGCCGGCCCACCCACGTGCAGAACCGTGCTGGGGTGGGGGGGAGTGGCGGGCACACGGGCTCTGGGGAGGGCAGAGGCGGGAAGCACCCTGGAGGCTCTTTCGTCCCCTGCCAGGGTATGCCTGATGGTGTGGCACCCCGAGGTGCACACAAGCCCCAACCATGGCAGAGATCTGGTTCAACCCCCAGAAGTCACTGGAACCCAAACTGACAACTGGGGCACCCACTTCCCACCTGCTCCCGGGAGACTGGCCTAGGGACCCCTGCAGGGACAGGCGCTGAGCAGAAGGCAGGAAGCCAGCCCCCACCCAGGCAGGCCCGAGTTGGGGGGATCTTGAGGGCTGGACCCTCAGAGGTGGACAGGCCTCCGTCCAGCTGCCCCTCCAGGCAAACATCCAAGGGCAGCAGCGGCAGCCCCTCCCTGTCTCTAGAAGACCACCTGTGGGTCGAGGGCACCCCCTTTCCCTCCGGAAGCGGCTAGGCACCAGCACAGCAACAGTACCATGGGCACTGGCCTCCAGGGTGGCCGCTGATGGGGGCAGCGGGGAAGGGGCAGAAGCTGACTTTGGGGAACTCACTCAGGGCCCAGGAGGGGGGTCAGGAGACTGCTCAGCGAGCCTGCTGGACAGGAGAGGAGGGACAGGAGGCTGTCCTGACCACCCCCAGACCTGACCATGGTGGGCCTCAGCCACCGGCTCCCTGCTTAGACCTGGCCTGGCCTGCCTTTCCCACGCCTCTAGCAGCCCCTGGGTGAGACAAGCCTTGGGGGCTGGTGACCTCAGAGAGGGGGTGCCCCAGGACTCCAGGAACATGGGGAGCTCACAGTTGGGGGTCCGTGGCAGTCTCTGGGGCTAAGGGGACATGCTGGACATCTGCGCCTGCTGGCACCACCCAGGGAAGCCCCCACCCCGCCTCCTCAACAGACCTGCACCAGCCTGGAGGCACGTGCATGTGTGCTGGGGGGAGGGGCGCATGGGGCCCTCCTCCAGGAGAGCAGGGTGGGGGGAGGGAGGGGGCTCTCCAGCTCAAAGGGCACAGGCACAAGATCAACAGCCCAGATCGCCAACACCACGTGGTACTGAGTGGGGGAGTGGGGAGGGGCCTGCTGCGGCTCACCCCCACCACCCCCACCTCCTGCCTCGGGGACAGCAGACCCAGAACGGCAGGCCAGCTTGGGTGACAGACAGGGTCATCTGCTGCCTGGGGAGCCTGTGCCTTCCAGGGGGCCTAGGGCCGGGGTGGGGGGCAGCGGCCCTGGACTCAGGACCAGCCTGGGCAGACAGGGGGCCGGGGGAGAGGGGGGAGGACTAGAGGCTGACTTGACAGCAACAGGCTTGTGGGTTGGGTCCGTCCTGGTTGCGGGTCAAAGCCAGCAGCCACTCCAAGGGAAGAAGAGGAGGCTGTCCACCGGGAAAGGACGTCACTGGGAGCCTCGATGGATGGGCTTTCCGCTAAAGGATGCCCGCAGGTACTGCCACATGGGCCACACGGGATTGCCCGGAGTCAAAACCAACTTTAAGGCAACCAACCACCACCTGCGCCCGCGACCCTCTCAGGTGCCGGAATGTGGTGCTGGACGGGAGGCTACGGCCTCCTTCAGGCCAGGTGTGCCCCCACTGCCCTGGTACACCCCACTTCTGGCCATCTGAACGGGACATCTGCCACAGCTCCTAGCACATGCAGGGTCAGACTCGGGGGCCAGTGCCCAAGACCTCCCCCCGCCCCCCTGGTCAAGCCACCCTGCATTAGGGACCTCACAGAGCAGGGCTTTCCCCAAACTACCCTCATTGTGCCCAGTTTCCAGGCAGTCCTTGAAACAGGAGATTGGGCTCAACTGTGCTCTCACCGAAGAACCACAGCTAGTAACGTGCCGCCAGGCACAGCGTGGGAACGGGCAGCCTCTGGCCAGACACCTACACGCCCCACACAGCACCCCAACACAGCACCCCGACACAGACACCCACACATGCCCCACACAGTACCCTGACACACCCAGCACCCCAACATGTACCCCACAGCACCCCAACACATGCCACATACCTCACCCTGACACACCCCACACAGAACCCCAATACACCCCACACAGCACCCCGACACACACCAACGTAGCACCCTGACATGCACCCCACACAGAACCCCAATATACCCCACACAGCACCCCGACACACACCAACACATGCCCCACACAGCACCCCGACACACCCCACACAGCACCCTGACACATACCAACATAGCACCCCAACATGCACCCACACAGCACCACCCTGACACACATCACACAGAACCCCAACACACACCCCACACAGCACCCTAACATGCCCCACACAACACCCTGACACACACCCCACACAACACCGTGACACACACCCCACACAGACACACACCTCACATAGCACCCCAACACACACCAACACGTGCCCCACACAGCACCCCAACAGACACCAACACACACCCCACACAGCACCCTGACACACACCAATACATGCCCTACACAGCACCCCAACACACACCCCACATAGCACCCCACACAGACACCAACACACACTCCACACAGCACCCCAACACACACCAACACATGCCCCACACAGCACCCCAACACAGACACCAACACCCTCCCCACACAGCACCCCAACACACACCCACACAGCACCCCAATACAGACACCAACACATGCCCCACACAGCACCCCAAC